TGCATTGAAACTGTTAACGCCCATTATGCAGGATACACAGACAAGGAACTTCCCTTAAGCATTCAGGAGGGTGGAAGGGGCTTTTCTTCTTCTGCCGTCTCTTCTCAGTTCCTATTGAAAACCCCTAGACTGACAGTTTGTTTTTGGTTTTTTGTTTTGTTTTTTTGTTTGTTTTTCGAGACAGGGTTTCTTTGTGTAGCTTTGAGCCTTTCCTGGAACTCACTCTGTAGACCAGGCTGGCCTCAAAGTCACAGAGATCCGCCTGGCTCTGCCTCCTGAGTGCCGGGATTAAAGGCGTGCACCACCACCACCCGGCCGATAGTTTGTTTTGAATATTAGTATTTCCAGGATTATATTGTCTTTACTGTATTTTACTTGAATATTCCATCTACAAAAATAATTTTTAAAACTTTCTCATTTATTGGACTCCTAAAATTATAGTAACATAAAATTATCCTTTTTTTTTTTCAATACTATAGCTTTTTGAAAGCTTACCAAGTTATTTTGACCTTCAGAGGAGAATGTCAACCTTAGAAGACCAGATAAGCAATCTTCTAGGGGGCATCCGAGTCGTTTATGTCGAGGAGTTGCAGCCAGCACTCACACTTGAAGAGTACTGCTCCCTCCTTGACGTCTTCTATAATCGGCTGCTGAAAAGTAGGATGCCTTCCCACCCTCAGAGTCTGAGTGGCTTGCAGATGATCCTTAGCAGGCAAGTGTCTGGAACTGGATGGTATGTGTGTGGTTTTGTTTCATTGTATGGTTCTTGTAAATTTAATAATAATAATAGAAATGAGTAGATGGAGAAATGGTTCAGTAGTTTGGTAGAAGATTCAAGTTCAGTTCCTAGGGCCCATGTCAGGCAGCTCACAACCAGAGGATCCAATGCCTTTGACCTCCTCAGGCACTGCACTCAACACAGAGGCAGAGGCGTGTGTGTGTGTGTGTGTGTGTGTGTGTGTGTGTATACAAACATATATTTATATATGTTTTTATATTTATACACACACACACACACATAATTTCACATGATTTTTTAAAATGGAGGCCAGGCTTGTTGTGCACACCTGTAATCCCAGTATAGCAGGTGGATCACTGTAAGTTCAAGACCAGCCTCAGCTAAACAATGCACCCGTCTTAAAAACAAAACAGAAGAACGTCATGACTTGTGAAGAACTGTAGTCACGGCCCTGTTCTGCATATGTCAAAAACCAAACTGAGGGACTGAAGAGTGGATCTCTACACCATTCTTGGAAAACATGGCCACTGATTAGTGAAGTCAGTCTCAAGGTCTCAGACTCACCTTGAAGTAGGTCACTGCCATGTCACAGAGAACAGTATATCATCATCAGTGTTGCTGTAATTTAATGTGCATTTTCGGATGACGACTTTTCAGTCACTTGAAATTAAAAAAAGCATTGTCTGTGGAAGTGATGATGTTTCCCTTAATGCATACTTTGTTTCAGTGACAGGTACGAGCCAAGCTTGCATGAACTTGGGCATTTTAACATCCCAGCCCTCTCAGATCCAACAAGCCTCCAGTCATTTATGAGAAGCAAAGCCCAGCAGGCAAGAGAAAACATGACAAGAAGGGCAGAGTAAGTACTGTCCACTTCCAGATGTATGAGGGCCTGACTTTTAAACAGAGACTAGAAAAGCATTATCTGCACTTTAGTTATTTTATTCATGTACAGCTGCTGTGTCTGTTGGTATCAGCAGGGACCAAAGAGGGCATTGGACCCCCTGAAGGTGGAGTTACAGGCAGTTGTGTGCCACCACAAAGGTGCTGGCATTTGCGTCTCTGTAAGAATCACAAGTGCTCGTAACTGCTGAGCCATCTCTCTAGCCCTATTCTATTTAAATTTTAAAGTGTGACTGAGTTTATAAGTAGTCGTGTTTCTGTGGTGTTTACAGCTAGGAATCACTTGACAGCCAGTGGTTTCCTTGTCACAGGTTTGAAGCTATAGAGTTAAGTCCATTGTAGAGGAGAAAGGGTAGGAGTGGGTCCATCCAAAGGAGTGGACAGACAGATGGACAGCAAGTTCAGATGGTGAGCAGGAAGGGAGAAGCAGCTCAAGGCAGGGTACAGCCTGATTTCAACATCCAAGTAAGGGTTTATACTCCTAGGTTTTTCTTCGCTTTGTCACTAGCAGTGGCTAGGGGAGGCGTATGAAAGCTGTTAGGAGCACTGACTGCTCTGTAGAGGACCCAGGTTCAATTTCCAGCACCCACATGGTGCCTCGTGACCATTTATAACTATGGTTCCAGGAATGCAATACCCTATTCTGGATTCTGAGAGCACCAAGCACACAGATGGTGCACAGATATCCATACAGACAAAACACCCATACACATTAAAAATAATAAATCGGGGTTGGGGATTTAGCTCAGTGGTAGAGCGCTTGCCTAGCAAGCCCAGGGCCCTGGGTTCGGTCCTCAGCTCTGAAATAATAAAATAATAAATAATAATAATAATAATAATAATAATAATAATAATAATAATAATAAATCTTGGAGGGTGGGGGAAAAATATAAATCTTTGAAAAATAGGAATAAATTGTGTATTATTTTTACCTTACTAATGCTAAAAAGGTTGTTTTTGGGGTTTTTTTTTTTTTTTTTAGAGTTTTATGTAGAAATAAATCAGCCAGTACTGGGCACAGCGTAACTCTTGGCATGTCTTTTCATATGACTGGCTTGTATGGGCACTATGCCATCTCCCCAACATTTAAGAATATTGTTTATATTTTATCTTACTTTATTTAGTAATAGCTTGTGATTTTTTTTTTTATTTTATAGGTTAAAAGTTATTGAAAATGAATTGATACAGGCTTCAACAAAGAAATTTTCTCTGGAGAAGTTGTATAAAGAGCCCAGCATTTCTAGCAGACAGATGGTGGATTGCTGTAAGAGACTTCTTCAACAGTCACTGCCTTATCTGCGTGGGATGCACCTCTGTGTGTCACATTTTTATTCTGTTATGCAAGATGGAGACTTGTGTATCCCATGGAATTGGAAGAAAGGAGAAGCCATGAAGTAGCACAGATATTGTTTTATTTTCTGGGAAAAATGAGAAACTGTTGAATTTATTTAAATTCAGTTTAATACTAGTATTCACATGTTAGAACAAAGTTTCTAACTGTTGCTTTAAAAGTGGGCTGAGCTTTTCTTTGTAGTGAATTTATGCTAAGAAACATGTTTTTAAAAGGTTTTATTCCCCCTAGTCTTATGATGCTGATGGCCAGGCAAAAAAGATGCTTAGAAGAAAAAAACTATTTTAAAGATATGTAATAGAGAGTTCTATAAAAGTCATATATATTTTTATATAAGTGAATGTGCGTATGTATAAATTGGCCTTATTCAGTATAGCTCTTTAGTACTAGAACTCATTTTCACATGCAACACAGTTCAATGTGTGTCTTCATAATTACATTCTATAGACACACACTTTGTAGCCAGTAATGGACAGTTATGTTCAAAACAGATGACTGATGAGTAGCAAAAATTAAATAACTACATTTTGTTTGAGAAAGATTTAAAAAAAAAAACCTATTGAATATATGCTGTTAACACTGTCTGATACTAGTTTATTAAAACGTCAGTGACAGAGAATTTAAATACATGATTTCTTCTACCATTTAAAATATTGATAGAGCATATGCTTGGTAGGCACAGGCCCTGGGTTCCATCTCTAGTACCAGGAATGAGTAAGATGTACTATTGTAATTTAGCCAGAAGCTCCTTTTAAAAGCTGTCTTCATTTCTTCAGCTCTGGCCCAGGTAAAGCCTGCTGCCTCCTGTGGTCTCTGGTGTCTCCCACCCAGTGGGAGACCCACTTTCTATTCAGAGCAGACCCACCCTACATTCCGCACTACACTTTTCCCCGAGAAAGCCCTAGTGAATTTTCCCCACAGTACATTAGAACAAAGGAGACAATAAAATCAGTTTTCACGTTTTGGGTTTTTATAAAACATCAGTTATTTAAACAGGTCAAATGTGTGTTGAAAATAAGAACTGACTTGTAAAAGGATCATTTGTGCCATTATTGCTTTTGACCTGTGCTAATTTGACAAATGTTGCTGTAAATATTCCCCATAAGAAAGAGTCCTCAAGTTGGGTTTGGTGACGCACACCTTTAATCCCAGCACTTGGGAGTCAGAGGCAGGTGGATCCCTATGAATTTGAGGTCAGCCTGGTCTACCAAGCAGGTTCCAGGACAGCCAGGGCTGTTACACGAGAAACTCTGTCTCAGGTGGGGCGGGGGGTTGGGATGGGGAGGAGTTCTCAAAGATATGATAGTTTATTGGAAACTTCTAACATCAGCTAACAGAATCTTCTGTGATGTGTGTTGAATTGGATTTGTCTCCGAACTAATTGTAATAAATAACACCTTGTTGATCACTTAGCTGCTTTTCTTGTTGTCCAGTTGTTAAAGTTTCACAACTAGGAGAATCGTAGTAGGAAATCGTTAGAAGTGATCCTTGGGACTTCATCTCCGGATATATGTGCTCCCCCACCACAGAGAGAAGAGGTGAAGCCTCTGGAGAGACCTGAGTCAGATCACAGCTGAGCTGCCCCCACAGAGAGAGCTGGGACTAGGCCCTGAACTCCAGGGCTATGTCTGTTCCCAGCATGGGCTGCCAAAGCCCTTCTTCCTCCCTTTGTTCTGGAAAGGCCTCTACCCCTAAGTAGCCTCTGAGTTAGTGAGAGGAAGGCTTTGAGAAGTGGGCACATGAGATGAAGAGCCAGGGCAGTTCACCACTACTGGAACCTAAAGACTGAGCACACTGTGGGCAGTGTAGGCCTGGGGGGTTGGAGGGACGGGGGCGCGTCCTGAGCGGGATTCATACTCTACAGAGGGACCTAGAAGCACACTGGAGGAGGGCGACACAGCCTGTGCTTTTCAGTACCATACTGTTTTGGTCAGTGTGGAGTCACTTGATGGCATCACGGGCAGACCTGCCCCAGTCTCGAGCCCAGAGTACACAACCCCGGCTTACCTGGCACTCAGCTTTGGCTCACTTCACACCGACAATGAACGCCCACCTCTGCAGGAACCCTGCTTGCCCACAGCCCCGACAGGGTCTGGTCTCATCTATACCACCTGCCCCCTGAAGGTTGCTCTCTGCCTACCTAGTAACTGTGGGCTGGCTGAAGTTTCTCTGCCATCCAGTTTTATCTGGTGGTACAAACACCACCCCTTTTTGGTGTAGTGCTGGAGGCTGAACTTTGGACCTTGTGCCTGTTAGGGCAAGTGTTCTATTGAGCTACATCTGCAGCCAAAACACCCTTTTAGAGTGTGAGTGTGTGTGAGTGTGTGTGTGTGTGTTTATGCACACATGCATGTGGACATGCACTACAGTATGTATGTATAGGTCAGAGGACAACTTTTAAGAGCTAATTCTCTCCTACCATGTGGATCCTAGGGATCCAACTTGATCAAGTGCAGGCTTGGTGGCAAGTGCCTTTATCTGCAGAGATATCTGAGATATCGTGCTAGCCCTAGAAATTCTTTCATAGCTTTAAGAGGGAGTTATGTTGCACGAAACTTAAATGGTCATATAATAAAAAACTGGAGCTGAAAGATCAGAGAAGCAGAGCAAGCCACAGCTACCACCTCTTACCTCACCAACTTCTCAGCCTGACAGATCCTCTATAAGACAGCAAATTCCTGTCTCCTCTCACCTTATATTCCTTTCTGCTGCCCAGCCATATCACTTCTTGCCTCAACCTTCCTAGTGCTGGGATTAAAGGTGTGTGATCCAAAGTGCTGGAATTAAAGGTGTATGCCACCACTGCCTGGCTCTGCTTCTATTTTAGACTGGATTAATCTCATGTAGCCTAGTGTGGCCTTGAACTCACAGAAAACCAGACGTCTCTCGGCCTCCCAAGTGCTAGGATTAAAGGTGTGTGCCACCACTGCCTGACCTCTGGCTAACTGGCTGGCTATGTCCTCTGATCTTCAGGCAAGCTTTATTTCTTAGATTACAGATATCACCACAGAGTTACATGTTTTTATCATGGGGACAGGTGAACCTCTCAAGTAGTCAGGGTTACAGTGTTGCTTCCCTTGAGTCTGGCCTTTCATGTAAACCACTGTGGGTCACTAGGGGCTCCAAACGGTCGTAGCCCAATTGTTAAAAGGTGGGAATCCTGCTTGTATTTTGGGCCTTTTGTCTTTGTATAAACTACTTATTTCCTTTGGAGAAGTGTTGCTATTCTGTGTTGGCACCTTGTAAAACAGCTGCACCAAATCAAGACTCAAGAAAACAGGTCCCTCATCTCCCCAAAGCCCTTAACGTCTTCACAGGCCAATATACAGATTTGAGCATACTTCCTATGTCCTTGTCAGCGAACCTAATTCTCTTCCTAGCTGGGCATTATTGAACCTGCCTATTCATCTCCTCATGAGTCAAAGAGAATAGGAAGATTTGACTCTCCCCAGATGTTTTCCTGATTTTTTTAAGGTTATATTTGCAGCCAACTGGGCCAAGGGAAATGAGTGATACATGGTGCCAAGTTGCTGGGCATGCTGCCAACAAGTTGACTAGGACCCTTTTGCTCTTCCAGGACCGGTCCTTGGCAGCCTTTGTAACCCTCAGTGTCTATCAGCAAGCAGTGACAGCAGGCATCTGCAAGCCGAAGGTAACAAGAACCAGGCCAGCTTCCAGCCTTCACAACCCTTTTCCTTGTCCAGAATCTTCATCACAGAGGTACAGGAAGGCTTGTTCAAGAGAATCATGGTGAGGCTGGAGAGATGGCTCAGGGTTAAGAGCATTGGCTGTGTGAAGGGGCCCCAACACAGCTTGACCACACAGCAGCCATGACAGGCCTAGACACAGCTTCTGTGACAGGCTTACTGGCAGGCAACACCCAGATCCAGGAAAAGCCTTAAGCTGATACCACCCAGGGATCTACCCAGGGGTGAGGAAGCACCTGACATCCTAAACATTCCAACGATTAGATAAGGTGTTCAGATGTCCTTGGGTCTAGCACACACCTATTTTTGTTTTACAGATACCCCTAGACAATTGTCAGCCAATGGGGTCCTGGACCCTGGGAATCCCCACCCCAACCTCTGCTATGATAAAAGCTCTGCCTCACCTGAGCTTAGGGCTCTCTGCTCTCACAGCTGCCTCAGACAGACAGAGGGACGCATGCACAGTTAAATTGGAACAATTGTAAAAGCTGGAACTCTCAGCATTTGAGAGGCAGAGGCAGGTAGTCCACCTGGTCTACACGAGGAGTGTGGTGAGAAACTGAGGTGACCGCTGGCTCCCTACCCTAACTGCTGGCTCTGGGTCTCCATGTTACCCCCACCTAGTTCCCTTCCCTGGTCCCTCTATTTGCTCAGACTACTTGTCCGTTCAGATTCCTGTAACGTCTCAGCCTTGGACCTATTGTTAGGTCCACTTTTGCAACCTGTGACCCGAACACCTGACAGAAACAACATAAACAAGGATAGATTTATGTTTGTCTCATGATTTCACAGGGTTTCAGTCCATGGTGGCTGGGACATCAGGACAGACCAGGAAGCAAAAAGAGGATCAGAGCCAGTTCAAAGTTCCGCCCCAGTGGGCTACTTCCTCCAACTAGATCCCACCTACTCAAGATTCCAACGCCCTCCTAATTAGCACCATTAGTGAGGGAACCTGGAGAGCGTTTCGGATTCAAACCCTAACAACCTGAGTCCATCTACAGCACCCAACTGCACCCCCACGCCCGAACTACCCTCCCTGCTCAAAGACCCTTTGTGGCTGCTGAGATCTGCAAGGATCTGCAGTTGGGCTCCTCTGTGGCTCTCAGGAGTGCTTGGGCTTTCATTCAGCCTTACCCCCGCCCCCGCCCGGCCTGCGGCTTCGGCTTCGCATGGCTCCTAGACTCGCTTTGCCTTTCCTCACTGTACTGAGGCTGTTCCTAACCTCCAGTGCCCCTGTTACTCCTGAGTGTACAGGACCCACATAACACTCTTTGGCCCCATTTGGGCCCTCATGGAGCCTAAAACAAACGCTGGACCACCTTTCAAGGAACTCTGAGGTGGGGACTTGTCCTAGGCTTGACCCGGAAGACAGTAAGAATGCCTTAGGCACAGGTGTGAAGTTTGTCAAGTGCAAGCCCGAAAACAGGCTTCACCCCTTTTCCATTCCAAGTGCTACCCATAAAAGCGAGGGTGGCCTGGCTGTGCCCGGCGAATGGGTCCCACTCACCCTGGCCTGTCCTCATCCCACTTAAGGCCTGCTTCTGTCCCACAGACGTCTTCAGCACCAGAACTGCGGTATTCACCCGCAAAGTGTCAAGACAGCAGAGGGAGTCAAGAAAGCCGTGGAAGGCGGTCTGTGAAAATCTCAGAAAAGTTTGGATTGGGTCTGAAAGCGTTTTTGCAGCTTCCTGTATAAACCTGTGCTTCTTGGGGCTGGGGCTGAAGGTATCTTCACCGAACGCTGCAGGTGTAGGTGGGCAGCCGCTCTGCCAGGTGCTTCATGGAGAGGCCCGACGGGCGCTCCCTAGCTCAAAAGGGAAACCGGTTGTTTCCAGTCAGAGCGTTCCTCCTCAGCTTGCTAGGCCGAGTCCAGGGCGTAGAAGGGCTAGCTGGAAGCAGCTCGGCCGGTGGAGGGGACGTTCCCAGGTGGCGCTGCACAGGAAGCGCGCCCCCTGGTGGGGACAAGATGCAGGGCACGGCCGAATCTTCACTAGGTAAAGAACTTCCCTGCCCCAGGGTATTTCCCTGCCGCCTCCAGGTTCGCTGGGGAGAGCGATCTGTGTACAGCAGCCGCCGAGCGGGGCGTGCTCCCACGCCAAGACCCCGACCTCGCTTCTCTCCAGAGGCTGCAAGAGTAGTCTCCTCCACTGGAGGGAGGGTGACTTCTCCAGTCTCATTTACCCAGACAAAAGAATCTAGGGATTTCTTCTCCTGTTCAAGCTGACTCCTAGACATATCTAAATGAAGAAAACGGCAGCAGGAGGCACAGGTGAAAGCTGCTCTTCATTTTTTTTAATAGTCTTTTCCAATTGTTTTTTTTTTTTCCCGAGACAGGGTCTCACTATGTATCCTTGGCTATTCTGGAACTCACTGTGTAGGCCTGCCTCTTCCTCCCAAGTGCTGGGATTAATTAAGGGTGTGCCCAGATTCATTTTCTTGATTAATGATTGACCTAGAAAGGTTCTAGGGTGTAAAAGAAAACAAACTGAGCAAGCCAGTAAACGTTCCTCCATGGCCTCTGCCTAGTTCATTGCTTCGAGGTTCCTGACTGGAGTTTGCACACTGACTTCCCTCGGTGATAAGAGTGTGACCTGAGAGTTGTAAACTGAAATAAATCCTTTTCTCCCCAAGTTGCTTTTGGTCATGGTATTTATCACAGCAATAGAAACCTAACCACGAGTATGGATGAACTGAACACAGACGTTTTCTTGCTACTCCCTGAGCAGTTCAGCATAACACTTGCTCCACAGCATTTACATTACATTATGGTTAGAGATGGTTTTAAGTATGTGAAGAGAATACATTGCATGTTGGGGAATATTATTTTAAGGTATGTTGCTTTTGTTTGTGTTGCATTTGTTTAACTGTGAAGCTGTATTACTGTGCCTGTCTAAAACACCTGATGGTCTAATAAAGAACTAAACAGCCAATAACGAGGAAGGATAGGTGGGGCTAGTAGGCAGAGAGAATATATAGGAGGAGAAATCTTGGGAAAAAGGAAGAGGAAGTAACCAGAGAAAGACGACTACTAACTACAGAAGTTAGAGAACGGGAAAAGCCCAGAGGCAAAAAATAGACTGAATAAGTTAAGTGACTAGAAACAAGACAAGCTGAGGCCAGGCATTCATAATTAAGACTAAGCCTCCATGTGTGATTTACTTAGGACCTGGGTGGTGCCCCCCCAAAAAGAGTAAAAAACAACAATTGTATGGAAATAGTATCCCATTTTATATTAGGAATTTAAGCATCTGCTGACTTAGTGTTGGCTTGGTATCCTGGTGCCAATCCCAAGAATAATGAAGGGCAGCTGTATACTAAACTATTTTATCTTATTTTCCTGACCCAGTTCAGACATCAATGCTAAAAATTTCAATGGAAGGTAAATGATTAAATTTCTGATATTTTCTACACAATATTATATTCTTTGAACAGGCTAAGTACCATTCCTTAAGTTCATTTTATAAGGAAAGCAACAATAATTAAATGACTATAGCTTGAAACAGTTTGGGATGAAAAATAAGGCATAGAGAGAAGACAAAAACAGAGTGGCATGGAATAATTACATGCCTATAATCCAAAGATTCTAAGGCTGTAGTTGAGGCTTAAGGCTACCCAATAAGAACCCCCCCCCTCAAATTGCTTTTGCTAAATTTTCTAAGACATGATCATGTATAATCAGCAAAGTGGTACATCAAAAATGACCATACACTTGGAACTGTGAGACCAAAGCTCCTCCATTTTTAAAATAAGGCCTCCAGTTTGTAAGAATAGGTTTTAAGTTCCCATAGTTAACTCAAGTTCCAGGAAACTGAAAAGTACAGAATAACAAGTTAATCAGGTGATGGTGACTGTGTGACCACAGAATGTCCTAACCCTGGTCTCCATGGTAACTGTTTGGCTACAGAATGTTCCAGCCCTCGGGCAGCCATTGAAAAATGGTGACAAACAACCACCCCCTTAGCCATAAGATAAAGATAAGGTTTCTGCAAAGTCCCTGAAAATGAGCCAATCAGTAATGTGCCCATACTG